ATTCAACATCATCACTTGATAAGACACCGGAAGTGTAGAAACAAAATGGCTATTTTGTAGTGATTTTATAACATCTATGTTATAATTTTTAAATAAATAATTATATATATATATATATATATATATATATATATAAGTAGCACTTCTTACATTGCATCTAAATATTTAAATATACAAATATTTTTTCGATTTGCATTTTAATTAATACCATCTTGATAGCTTCAATCTCAGATATTTGATAATAATTAGCAAATAATATATTTTTATCATTTTGATGAAATTAGCTCTAATGATGTTTTCTATCTACAGATGACATGGTCTCCGAGAATAAATATATATCTGGATATTTCAACTATTGTAAATATTGATTGCCTGGAAGGTATAACAAACGTTGAGATGTCATTCCTGCATTTATAAATTTTTATTTATTTTTTCTATCATTTGAGATTAACACGCTTTTTCCGCTTTGTCTTAAAAAAGGCCGAATTATCTGTACACCCAGGAAAATATCTTAATTGAGACACTGAATTTAAATATATATGTATAATTACCTGACATTTTTTAATGTTGACAGGTGCGAATGACAATAAAGAATTTACATTTATCCTGTTCTAAATCTGATTTTTTTAATTAATTCTTTCATTTCGTTTTTAAATTACTTTTCTAAAATTATTTTTATTCGTTCAATTTTTTTTCTCCAATGATCAAATCTGGTATTATAATTGATTTGAAGAGTTCATTTATAAATAATCTTTTTTTTTTCGTCAAAGAGGTGGCCGTTATAATCTGTCAAGAAAAAATTGATTTTCGCCGGAAAAAATAATTATTCTGCTTTTACATTTTTCTCTTACTCTATTTAACCAAACTCGACAAAGAATTTAAAAAAAAAAAAAATTAACAAACATATTCAAAGTTCAAATAAATAATATTTTAAATCTTACTAGGCTCAAATGATGTAATCATTCATCGGATTAAAGAAAAATGTAGAAATATTTTTGTTATCTATTATTGTCTAAGCTAAATCACAGATGCTAGATGACCGGTGAGAGCCGAAGCATTCTCTTTGAAGTCATGTTGATTAGAAAGAAGAGAGAATATTTTTTGGAAAATCATTAAAAACTTAAATTGATATATTTGAAAGATTTGAAGGTTTATGATATTTGTCAAATTCTCGTTCAATAGGTAAAATAACAGACCCGCGCTTTTATTTATTTTCTTTTTTTTTATTTATTGTAGTATTTTTTTTAATATGAAATTGATATCTTTTTTGTAAAAAAAAAGGGTAAGTAAAATATCTTCACTTTATATTTTTTTTTTAATGAAATAAATGCGTTACTGCGCATTTCATCTCGGGAAACTGCTTAATAATAAAATGGGACAAGTTTATTTGGAATGTTAAACTCATAACAAAAACAGAGCTGAAGACAACATACACACACACAAACTCACAGACACAAGCGCACACACATATGCACATACACACGTGTGTAAAAACTTATATAATCATATTATAGAGAATTTATCGATTATTTTTATTAAAATCAGTCCACACTTAAGTATAAACCAAAACATTCACATTTTCAAATCAGAAATCGTTTTTAAAGTTTTCTAAAAAGAATTAATGTTCTTTAAGAAATTTTTTTACCATAAAATATTTCATTTCTAAATTATACTGAAAAAAGTTTCTGCTAATGTTTTTGTCTCTTATAAATAGGTTATTATTATCATCATTATTATCATCATCATTATTATTATTATTATTATTATTATTATTATTATTATTATTATTATTATTTCCTTTGATTTCTGGTGTGTACACATTTCTTTCCGGGTAGAGACCTAAGATTAGAAATGGCATCATAATATTTTCCACT